AGTAAAACAACTCAGTCATGTAAAAATTAAGGACATGTTATACTTCTGAATAGTTGTCTTATACATCAAGAGTTCTATTATAATTATAGTGCAAGGATTTCATATCGCCAGAGCTTCATAGCTCCTCGATATTTCTCACTGGCAGTTCCTCTAAGCACTGCCTGTTCCTGGTCCTCACAGTAGTCATCTCACTCCTCCAACTCCCACCAACCCATTCTTTTATACCACTGTTCTTATTGGCTACAGGTGTGGCCTGTTAAGATCAGCCCTGCTCCCAGTCTTTAGTAATTGGTTCAGCTGCAACTCTTTAGGGGATAAGATTACATTCTATACCACCTTTGTTTACCCTACACCGAATATGTGCAATAAACAAGCATATACAGCTTTCCATTTTGGGGGTCCTTATTTAAATATACCTGTGCCTAAAACAGGTCATTAAGTGTGTTAGAAATTGAAGCCTCATTGAATTCCCAGCTTTGCCATTGTCAATTGGCACTCTACTGTTGACTTTTGTAGAATCAGGATTTCATCCAAGACACTACAATCTAAAACAAGTTCTGAGAAGTTTCAGCTGCTGTATTTATCAAAAGAGGGGTTTATCTTGAAATTATAAAAAGTGAGATTATACCATTTACATTCTTTTTCACTGCTAATAACTTTTATTATTGTGCATATATATAACCATTGAATCAAACAAGAATTATAGAAGTAGAGACTCCAGGCTTGCAGACTGTCATACATTTGTATAATACTCAAAGTTCACATTAGGTTCATTAGAAAAGTAGACAGAAAGAAAATAAAAAGTAACAAACTCTTCTGTTCTTTCTAGTGTGCTTAGAACAAAGGAATAACTTCCTCTCCATCATCCAAATAGGAACCACCAAATAAGAGTAAATAGCCTCCAACAATTTTCCAAGAGCCAAAAGCATCAATTATTCCACAAACAGATGTCTAATCCTTCTTCTCTACTTGTAACAATTTCTACAATACAGTTATGAGTTAGTCAAACAAAATAGACACAACAATACAAAACCTCAGGCATAGCATGGAAATGGAAAGGAGAATGTAGAATAACTAGTGAATATATTATAGTAGAGCCTTTGCATCCAAAGACTTGCCTATATTTCACCCACATCCCTGCAGAGATGTGCAGTATGTGTAATGGAATATATTATCTTTCCTTATAAACCTTTCCTATGGTAGTCAATATTGAACAGAAATTGTCCCTTTATAAAATGGTAGAAGGACTTCAGAAAACATACTAACTGAAATATCTGCATGCTATATGAACTGTCCCCTAAACCAGAGAGGAGAAAATCAAGGTACAGCTGGAGAGTTCAGTTTCAGTAAGGAAGTCATAGCTCAAATACTGAGTGTAACAGAAATTCTCAGACCAATCACAAAAATATCAGCTGATACAACTATCAGGATGTCTCAGATTGCTGGATTGTAATTTTCACATATCAAAAAAAGGAGAGGCAAAGACAACAGATGACCAGCAGTTAATAGACTGTCCTTTACTTCCTCTTTGTCTTAGTTTACAGGAATTCTTACAGTAAAATTACTATAAAAGAAATCCCATTATCCTGAACAGATATGCCTATAGTGTTTTGTGTAGTATGGGGCACAGCACATCTCTCATTACTGACTACTGAAATAGCCAGTGATTTCTTCTTTTTGTGTCAGTTCTCAGCATATTTTTACTGATTTATGTGTTAAGTCAAAACTTTTCCAATCTTCCCTCAGAAATATTTTGTGGATAAGTATTGATGTCCATGTTTCCCTTTACACTGTCACACACAAATGAACATTTAACAGTTCACATACAGATGTTTATTTTGCTCAGCCATCTGTTCCATCTGAAACAAAAGAGATCACATAAAATGAACTCCCACTGTAACTCTCCTTCTGAATGCATAAACAACAGGATTCTCAACAAAAAGTCTATTGGTTTTTACAGTGTGTTGGGAAAGATTGCACTTTATGGATGTCTCAGGAAGTCAGATCCCTGTTCTGAATAATGTGGAATATTGGTAAGATAATAATGGAAAAATGATGAGTGATCATTTTTGATCAAGCTATGAGCGATAGCATAGAGATCACTCCACAATTTTTACTTGAAAGATGGTGTTCTGTGGTTTTGGTTTTTTTTTTCTTGATAGTCATAGGGGTTTGTTTTTTTTCTTTTCAGACAAACCCAAAACTGAGAACTGGATTGGGCATAAGCAGATGCAGTGAAGGGCAATAAATCTGTTTCTCTGAGAGGAACAGATTTAATGAGAGACTTGAAGAGGGAATGTGGTGGGCAGTGCCAAAATATAAGAGTCTGTTTTCAACTGCAGGGATGAGTTGGCCCATAAAGACTGGGTCACAAAGCAGCGGTCAGGTAAGAGGTACATGTAGAGGGGGCATGAAATGGGAATAATAAAGTTTGTAAGAGGTATACACAATAGTATGCAAAACAATAACAAAAAAGAATTCTAATTTGGGAAAGCCATTAAGAAGTATTTGCATTTGAGTCAACAAGAGGAAAGGGAGAGAACCATAAGAGAGTAAAGTTTGTAGTGAAATCTGATAACTAAAATGAAAGTTCAGTTACTTAGTGTGACGGGAAGACAGTAGAGGAAAGGGAAAAGAAAATACAGCTGCTAAAGTATTGTCAGAGAACTGCTTCTCATGAATATGGAGAGATTTTGTCCACCTGGAAATAGTTCTTATCCATTCCTGCCTCCTGATCATATATCTGCATGGAAATTGTACCTTTATTTGTTTCCTGGCCTCAGCTGTCCAAGGCTGTTCCAAACTTTGGTCCTGAAAGTTTTCGAATGCCCTCAACCTAAAAACTGGGCAGGTATAAATAGCTAACCTGGGGTATGATCTGACCCCCAAATAAATGAACATTAAGCAGATTCAAATCTCACTGAAGAACAAAACAGTAACACCTTGAGCCAAGCAGGTTCACTGTAACTACTGGCCCTGTTTACAGTGACCTATATCAAGTCAAATTTCTTCACACCAGCCCAGTTCTCACTACAGGTTTCACTTGGGTCTTAGCACATTAGCTCATGCACTCCTGCATTGCAATGGGTATAGCTGTACCATAATACCTGACTTCAGGATGAAAATTTTCCATATTTTTATACTCTCTGAAAATAAACAACCTGACAAAGCGTGAAATTTCGTATAATTGAGCCAATAAAATTCATGTCCTGATACCTGCAGTCAGACTTTAAACCAGAATTGTACATGGGGACTAAAACCCAGGCCTAGAAGAAATCAAGTAATGCAACCTTGCCTCCTATTTAACAAGTTAAGAAAACTAAAGCAAACAAAATCCCAGCAATGACAACACTTAAACCTGCAGTTTCTGTGGAGGTATTCCTACATTAAGTTTCCAAATATGAATATCTACCTGCCACAACAGCCTACCTGATGTCCCTGTGTATTAAGTGGCAAGTAGTCACTAAATGAGGTAATTTTTTTGTTTCTTTTTTATTTCTCAAGGGACACTGTCTGGCATTACAGCAGTAATTATTTTTTTATGAGAAATTATGATTTTGAAAAATATATCCATAAAATATTTGCACAATAAAGCAAAGAGTAAAACCACTTTATCTGTAATATTACATTTGAAAAATATTTTGGCATATTTGATGCACACACAAGTTTGGAAAGTAAAAGTTGACACTAATAAGGTAATAATTTATGAATCTGTTTTAAATTCCCACATATACAGCCATTTAGAATTACATTTCTAGATACCCAAAGAAGCACTAGCCAAAGATGATCAGACCCAGGAAGCAGTTCAGTGATGCTGCTTGGGTATAAACCTACAAAAGCTGACTCATCTTGTGTTGACACAGCAGCTGTAGCTGAGTTAGCCCAAGAGGGTTAAGCCACACCAGACTGCAGTAGGAATTGCAATACAGCACCTCGTTAATGTCTGCCTCATAAGCCCATGCACTGCCCTGCCCAGCCCTACACAGAAAAACAGAAACAGCCAAGACAAAGAAGGAGCTTTTGAATACCTTAAATTTTATATTTAGTCCTATTGCTTGTGGCTAAGTTTTCTATCTGACCTCCTGCACTATAGAAAGTGTTTGTCTTTAACATGTGAAGCTTTCCGTTTTTAGAATGGCCATGTTTTACCACAGTGAACAAGGTTTTATGGAGCAACACCAGTGAATGGGACACCCAAGCCAAAGCAACTCAGATTCATTCAAGTTCATGTTAAAGGGAAACTGCAGCGCCTCTCCTCTAGTCCATTTATTAGGTCACGTTATTGATGATGTGCTTTTTCTGATGAGGTCTTAGGCATGAAATGATAATGTTACACCACATATCCAAAGCAAAAAGAATAGACACTCTTAAACAGGAGAAAAGATACATCCACAGCTGCTTTTACTGGGTGCTGGTCTTGATATAGTCTATAACACCTGATCTCATGGCATAGAAAGACTCAAATAATTGAGCTTCATATCACCCTTGCTGATTCCCTTATTCGTGTACTTCAACATCTTAGACATTAATCACTAGGAGTTTACACACAGATTAGTCAGAACCACCCTTATTTTAGAAACACTTGTTCAGTCACTGCCATCTTGCTTTCAGTTTGTTTCATTCAAAATAAAGCCACTCTCACTGCTAGCTTTGATTTGATATACAACCCTTTTAGACTCATTTCTGTTGTTCTTGATGCATTCTGTACTAGTCTCTACCTGGATATAAGCACACAAATTAATGCTGATGCTGTTCTCCGTACAGTGACAGCATTAATAGAGCACTGTTTTGTTGTCCACAATAAGCTCCCTCTTGTGCCTCTGGTGTTGTGTAATTAGGCCCCTTCAGACACACACAGAGTTTGGTTACTGTGGTTCATCAGCTTATAATTCATTACTCTAAATAGCTTCATTTTCACACTTTTTTTTCCCCCTTTTCCTTTTTTTGCTGTTAAATTGAAAAACAAAAACAGGTAATGAAAGTAAAAACGAATTACTCACCCTTCATCTCGATCTAACATAATGTTTATGGGCAGCAGGGAGAGCAGGAAGATGTTCTTGTGAAGAGAGGAACTTGAACAGCTTTATAGGACAACAACCTAGGAAGAAATGACAAGCCAATACCCACATTTACTGTTTGTAAATCTGAGCATTGATTCTGCTTTCACAAGTGGCTTTCATCAAATGCAAATCAGAAGCCTGGCATCTGCTTGAGTAACCAGGCAGCCCTGTCCCCCTTTCAAGGGAACAAAAGCCATACAATCAAAGGATTTGAAGAGGATGGCAAACTTATTGTAAGCTAGAAAAGGTTAAAAGTCTGCCAGGGCTTGAATATACCTCTCAGAACTCCCAAGTATGGAAGCACTTCTGCCCTTTATGTTTTTTCCCTGTGAAATGTTTCTGTATATTTGAAATATGATAAAAAGTGACCAAACAGAAGAGAGACAAACTAGTCATGTTTCTTACTTCCCAACTGATTTTAAAGCTCCAGAAAGCAAACTCATACAGTTTTATTTATCCTCAGATTCCAAAAATCCAGTTCTGATCAACAACAGTCTGGCTGTTGTACAGGACCTACCTGTGCTCCCCTGAACAAGTGACAGATCTTCTTCTGTACAGATGGGTAACAACAGGAATTCAGTCCAGACATGCTTATTCCTCTCTCAGAAATCTTCACTAACAGTGGCACACCCTGGAAAATGGCTGAATAACATCTGGGTAGAGAAAAACATATTTTTAGTAATATTTTTATTTTAAATTAATATTTAATGATATATAACCCTTTCAGATACCTTGCTGTTGTTCTGCTTTGAATTAACTGAAATTTCACTACTTCTACTTGTTCAGTCAAAAGCAAACTTTCCCAGCAACAAAGAAAACCAGGTTACTGTTTCTACTGAAAATCTCTGAAAAATGTCTAATATTTCATATGTATATTCATTGTGAAAATAAAGCCTTATACTGTATGAAAGCAGCATAAGACGGAATTTTTTAAAAATATTTTAAGACATAATGAATTCATCAGAGTGTGTCTAATTGTCTCATTTCTCATTCACAAAACTTATCCCAATGATTATGAAGTTAGAAACCAACATTCAAAGATTTGTAATAAGCCTTAAGTGTCAGTTTGGTAAATTTTCATCTTTTTATTTAGTGATCGATTCTAGATTCCAAAACAGAATGTCATTTCACACACAAATTTTAGCTTTATATGAACAGGATTTGTCAATGCTATTAATGACTAGATGGATAATAATTCACTCTGAGTAATGTCTGAAGGACCCTGCCACTGTGAGGCTTCGTTGTAATTATAAGCAGTTTAATTTAAAACAGATCTTGGTTCTAATGTTCTGAATGATCTAACAGAGCAACCTGTGCTTTCTTCTGAAGGAATCATAACTCTCTCAGGTGTTTAGAGACAACTATGAAGCCAAGTTTGGCAATTCACTAAGGCAAAACCAGAACAAAAGAACAGCAATAGGAAGGACGTTTACGTTTGGGTTTTTAATATGCAGTAGGAACTAGATAGATCAGATTATGAAACTCAGTGTCACAACGTGGTATCCACATGCCCTCTGAACAGAGAGAAGCTGTGGGAGAAGGAGAGAAAAGAATTATCAAAACAATTCTTATCTCATTTGCTGCTCCTGTGTTTGTGCCCATGTGGAATGTGTTCTGGAGATTGTTTACCTGAGGTGATTGCTTGACTGGAATCTGGTGATGGTGTTTTGGATTCACTGACCAATTGGATCCACTTGTGTGTGTGGGGACTCTCGGGCAGAAAGTCATGGGTTTTCTAGTGGTTAGTGATACTTCTTGTTAGTGTAATATAGTGTAATATAGTTATAGTGTAATACAGGTATAATATAATTTAGTATAACAAAGTAATTAATTAGCCTTCTGATGTCCATGGAGTGCTCCTCAACATTTCCTGCCTTCGCAGGGTTGCCCTGAGTTTTGATATCACAAAATGTCATAGAGCCCAAAAATATAGATAGTACTGAAATTAAATTACATGAGCCAAAGGAAAAACCTATTGATACCTATTGGTCCTGCTGGTAGAAGTGTACATCTGACCTTCAGGTCAGAAGGACATACTAAAACCCACCAACTTTGTCTCTTTTTAATTCTATGTTTTCAGCACCTCATGTTGGCAGGTATCTTTGTTGAATTTCCCAAGGAATAAGCTTGGAACAAACAGCCTTCTCTCTGAAACACAGAATCTGGGTTTCAAGTAATGCAGATACAAGTGATGAAAATAAAAAAAGAAAAAACACCAAACACAAATCAAAACAGAAACATTAAGAAGAGGAAACAGATTCTGTTATCCATTTAAATATACAGGTAAAAGACTACTTCAAGGAGGAAATAATACATGGAAACAAAGAGTGAATGGTAATTCTGGACTAAGCATCCTGTATTCTGCCCATCACATCTCAAATACTCTCCCCTGTTTGCTGCCAATGAGGATTTCTCCCAGACTCAAACCCCTTACAGAGAGCAAGACAGCCACAGAAAACAAACTAGAAAAACCAAATGAGCCCAGACCACAAAAATTGAACTAAAGGAAGAGGTCAGAGCATCAAAAGTGCAAGAGCAAGGGAACTGGTGAGGGATGTAAAACAGAGCATTCCTGACAGCAGCCCAAGTAGCTGATGGATGCTGCCAAGTGATGCCCAGGAACAGAGACATCACTGTCAGAAGGGAAGTACTGAGCTGAACTCAACATCTGATATTGAGCTGACACTTCCATCCAACATCTTAAGGCAACACAATCAGGAAAACACAAACAGAAGTTACATGATGCTGTCTTTCAATACAACATCTTGTGTTCAGAGATGATCTGCACCCACAGCAAGGCTTTCCCCACAAAGACCTTGTTGTTGAGTAATATTGCAAGACCTTTCTCCTCCTAAGATCAACATCTGGATTTAGAGTATCTATTCAAATCAGACCCAGAAAACAAAGAAATTCTGTGCTGAGTCATACTCAGAATAATTCTTACCTTCTCTGTGGTTCCTTTCAGCTGCAGATATTAGACAATGTTTCGCAAGAAAGAATACAAATAAAGTACTTCATCATTAGTCCTGCAAATAAGTCACTTTCACAATACCAGCATTGCATAACTTGTTTTTATGTAATACAGTCATCTGCATAATAACTGGTCTTCCAAAATCTTTTGACAGAACCACAAAATGTAAGAAGTGTTGGGGTGGCATGGTATGTTTGCTTAAGATGGCTATTCTAGAATGTCTGCAGCAATGCACAATAAAGGTGATAAATTTTACCAGTGCTATCCAAAATGCTGATGGCCTAATGTTAAGTACAGGATCCTTTTTTATTATGCTTACATAAGATAGACCCATGTAATATGAGCATGACACAGTGATAAAAATTAAATCATACAGACATTAAACTACCATATCATTGTTTTCCCCAAGAATCCTATGGTTTTAGCCAGATCCCACTGCACTATTATCAGATAATACATGCTAATTATTTCTTGAAATATGAGTCAGAATTTTTTGAATTATTAGTTTCTACATCTCATTAAATCAATGGGACACTACATAGGATAACACAGATTAAAGGTTAAAATCTTTCTAGTTTCTTTGATATTTTTGATGTTGTCTCTTATTTTAAAATCAGCACAGTGATAGTCCTAACTGTAAGATTTTCAAAGGCACTTCAAACAAAAACATCAAATATTAAAATTGCTTTAACTTCTTCACCTTCTCTGCCATCATTGCATTCACTTCTTTCTCCTCCCATACACACAAATACATTCTCACACACACTGAAAAACCACTGAAAATTAGAAAAAGTCAACATTTTTTTAATGTGAAAATATAGAAATACTCTCTCATAAATGTGAAGCTACCATGGCTTGAAGTCTAAACATTCAGCACATAATTTGTAACTTTAATCAACACATCTCATTTTGCTAATGCGTACTGACTGGCTGCCTGAGTGCTAATGAGCGTCCCTGAATGCTAATGGCTCTGTGAAACTAGATGGCCTCCGAGCATCACATGGATTATCTGAAACTTATTTGCATCTCACATTCCCAGCACCATTCAGCTTCACCTCTCTTTGACCTTCACATTTTATAAACTAGGGAGAACAGTTGTGTTATGAAAGGAAAGCCAAAACTGAACCAAAAAATGCAGGCAGGCATATATCCATCTAGACTACCTTAGGAACAATTTAATGAGTTGAATATTCTCACACTAGAATATGGTCACTGTAAGTCATTATAGATATTGTCTCCCTTTCCTTTGAACTTTAATCCTTACAAGACATATGCCTAGGAATACAGTGTGTGTAACCAGGAAATAGTAAGAGGATTGTGAGAAGAATTAATACCTTTTAGAAGCAATTGATTTTCCAGCAATAAAACATATTAAATATATTATACATTACTGCATGTACTACTGTGAGGAAATAACATATATATATATATCATAAATTCAGCACAGCTGGAAAAAAAGACAAGGATTCAAGTACACAAGACCTCCTTCAAATCCCATCCCATGTATTAAAATTGTATATTCCCTTTTGTCCAACATATAACATTTCTTTGGTGATGGTCAGATGTGTTCTGCAACTTCACAAAAGCTCCACTATCTTATTCCAGTCAGTAGATATTGCATCAATGCCCTGCTATACTCAAGGTATTATTTCACTGCCTACTGCATGTCATAGGACTCTATAAAAAGTCAGAAATATTTTCTGTGAAAGCTTTTTTTCTTTTTGAATTGTGTTTCATGTTGTTTTGGTTTTTTGGTTTTTGGGTGTTTTGTGAAGAAATCCATAGGTACAAATATATACACGTGTACATGTACAATTACATATTTTCAGGAAAAGAAACTTTCTTGTCTGTAAAGAGACATGAAAATTATAATTGAAGAATATGATGTAAATATTCTTTTAAAATAAACTGTCTTTTTCCTTTTTACTACAGTCAGAATAAACTGATATTCAGATCTGTTTCCCAGCTTGAAATACAGCGGAAGCACTTGACATATTGTTAAAGTCAAAACCCCGGAGATGCCATTAGATCATCTGGTTTGATCTCTGCAATGTTCACTCCATTTGACCACCAAATTTAATATGGAATCCTTAAGATGTGGTTGACTCAAACATACCTCCCAAAAAGATGTGTGACTTTGATCTGACAACTTCAAGTCATGGAATATCCACACGTTCTCTGTGTGTTTGGTTTGCAGTGACTTAATCACTTCTTTTAAATTTACTATGATAAATGCTTTTGATACATGGAGAAAATTGAAACTAAAGACTGTAGGCTTCTGTATCTTCTTTAGCATCCATCTGAACACATTAGCATTGGCTACCTTATCCAACAAGTTCTTTTTCTTCTACTATTTACATTTTCTCCCCTCCGCTCTTCTGAATTTTGCCTAGTATTTCAAGATTTATTAAAAATTACCAGCATGCCAGATGTCTTTTTTAATTCTTTAAAGACTGTTTGGTACAAATTATCTGCAACTCTGAAAGTGTTTATCCTTTAATGTCTATCTATGCCCTGAAAAGCACTTCCTTATCCTCATGGAATGCAAACACATGGCTTTCCAAGTACAGAACAGAAAGTCTTACTGAATATTTCTTCATCTGCTTTATAACCATTAAGTATTAATTTATTTCCCATTGGTAATGGATCTATAGCACCTCTAGGATTTCTCTGACTCCTCATTATGATTAGCTTTTGGTTTCTCCCCTATTGTCCTTGGATTCCTTAATAGTTTTCTGTATTTTTTATCTTCCAAATTATGCACACTGCTACTTATTTACCTAAAGTACTTTTCTTTAACTATAAAAAATGGCATGTCCTACAAGAAGACAGCTGACATCATGAAACCATCTCCAGAGACAGCTGCATAAAAATCAGGTTTGTATAAAAATGAGGACAAGTTTTTAAAAGACAAAGCTCTGGGGTTCATGGATTTTTTGGGAAGAATGCAAATTAGTGTCTAAAACAAAATATGTCACTGCACAATCAAGAAGCCTAAGACCCCTGCATTACAAAGGTTATGATTTAACCTTTGTAAAACACAAGTCAGTAATAGAAATTTGGTGAAACAATTAGATTTGACATTGTAAGGAATTTTAGCCCATCCTAACAAGGATGAGTGTGATATTTGTTATAATCATACATGGCAGGTACCAGCATCTGCCACAATGACATCAAGAATTTATAAAGAAAAAACTGTTCTGTAAGAGAAAAGCTAACATTTTAGCAGACTAAAGCCTATGTGAGTAACTTTATTGGAGAAGTTAATTGTTCTGGGTGCATGCCTAACACTTTTCATAGCTAGTTTTCAAATACAAAACTATACATTACAAGTTGGACAAAAAATGAATAAAAATGAAAACATCATCATTTATAAACACATTGTATCAGTAGTAGTCAAACAAACACAAGAGCATCTTGGACTGATGAGATTTATTCAGAAGATTCCCATCAATACCACTGGGACTTTATTACAGTAAAGCTTCTAAGCAGTAATGGTAGAATAATATTCTGTAACAAACTATATCAGATGATGCTAATTAATTTTGGAGTCTAAAAATGTTGCACTTCTATTCTTTGCCTTCTTATGTTAACAAAAACAATATTAAAGATCTGAAAAAATTAATCTAAAAATGTAAACCTTGATTCATTTTGGCTTTCAAATAATTTGTAACTAAGTTAATATGACATATACAAAAACAGTCCTATCAGATATTTAAAGAATTTTGTGAAGTTTTAATTAGCCTGACAATTTTCAGCAGCTTGTCATCTAATACCATAGTGTAGTCCTCACTCTTTCCCACTTCCCTGTAAACTGCCTGAGTTTCTCTCACATCAGACAAGAGCCCACACTGTAGGGTGGCTTTTGCAACCACTTATGCGTTGTTGTGGTGGGTTATGTAAGGTGAACAAAGGACCTTGCCAGATACTTAATTCCCCACTGTTTCTGACAACATTCTCAAGGCAGGCAAAAGTCAATTCTTCATGCCACGTTACTTGTGCTGTGTTACTCCAGCACAGGGACACCTGAAAGAATCCCAGTAGAACAGTGAAGCTCCTCCAGGCAGAGCCCACAGGGAGGGACATGGGGCAATTCACTCTTCTCAGAGTTGCTATTTCAGGCTTTCTGCAGACCTCTGTTTAACTTCAGCTCAATTCAAATAAATGTTTGGAGGTTTTCCCTACATGCATACAGCAGGTAACAATTTTACATGTTAAAAGAGGAAAAGAATTAGGGAAGCCAGTGGTATATCATCAGATTATTCAGTCACTGTGGGAGTGTGGGAGAAGAGAGGCAATGATTGCCTGTTTGAGTTTAATCTGTGCCTTGATCAACCTTTGCATTTGCCACTAACATTTCTGCCACCTCCAGGCTCAAGCAGCCAATGTCAAACACTACCTGCTGGAGGTGTTTGAAGCAATGTGAACAGGGCTACTCTGAACCTGAGCTGCAAAAAAATTCTCAATTTCAGTAAGAGACCCTGTACTGATTATCATGGAAAGCATTTATTGTTATAAATATTGTGTTATTCAGAAAACAGAGGAGCAGCAATGATTTTAAATACTCTTGTCCTGCATTCTGGCTTATGGACCATGTCAGTTTGACCTGCACACCTTCTGTGGGACACATTTGGAGCTAGATCAGGAAACTGATGCAGGCTGAATGAAATTTTAAAAACAAACAAATTTAATACTAAAGCTAGATCAGGCCTAAAAATTCTCCTTTTGCCATATTTGTAGCAAGGGTACATCCTACATCAGAGCTAACTTTCAATACTCCTCAAAAAAAAACCAACCTGTCCTCAATTTTCCTTTTTCTTTAATAACTTTTATATTCTGTGTGTTGTATATGTAAGAAAGGTACTTTGAAAGTTTTCTGTTTCTTGAAAATCTTTCCCTTTATTTTCTAAGCACATTTTTCCTGCATAGGCAACCCCCAGGGATGAGTAAATTCAGACAGTTTCTGAACTATATTCTACCAGGTTAGATACCTCTGGAGCTTTGGGGCTGTATATGCACTGCTCATTACAGTAGCCATGTAAATGCTGGTTTATAATCTCTGAAACATTTGTCTAATTCTCATGGAAACACA